CAGTAAGTTCTATGAATAAACAAATCACTGAAGAGTTAAAGCGTGTGAAGGAGCCAATTTTGGATGGAGTAGTCAAGGCAAGACCTAGGTGCAGAGGTGACATTGAAGTAGAAAGCTGAGTGAAGACAGGGATCAGACAAGCCATATGAAAGATCTGGATGAAGAACTTTCCAGCAGAACAGTAATGGCAAAAATGCTGAGGCAAAATAAACTTGGCATTGTTCCAAGAACATCCCAGAGGGCCCATGTGGTGGGTGCAGGAAGAATAAGGGAGCGTGTGGTAGGGGATGCTGTTGGGGAGACTTGGGAATTTATTCTAAGGGTGATGGGAAGCCTGTGCCAGGATTTTATTTGGCTATGTGTAATAGAAACTCCACCACAGGGTCAGTGCAAGTGTCTGCACGATTTAATTAAGTGAAGGATTTCTTTTTTTCTCGCATAACAAGGAATCAAAGAATGGGCATAAAAGAACTGATACAGCTGCTTAAGGAACAAGATCCCTTCTCCCTTCCTGTCTTGACATCTTTGGAATGACTGTTCTACCTTTGGATTTTTGCTTTTTAGGCAGGAACGAAGAAGAAGAACAAATGTCAAAGGATATATGGCACTATAGTCTCCACTTTTCTCAGGACAACAGTGACTTTCTTACAACCCCGTGATTTCTCCTTTTGTCTTATTGGTTAGAATTGGATCAAATGGCCTCTCTAACTGCAAAGGAATCTGGGAAATGTGGATTGTAGTTTTGCACGTAACTTTTCCCAAGAAGCAGGGGAAGTGGTGGGGGAAGAAGAGTTGACATTGTCTAGGAAACTGGCTATCCAAAAAGTCATGGAGGGTTTTAAGCAGAAGATTGACATGATCTGATTTATGTTTTAAAAGTGATCCTTGGCTGCTGCGTGGAGCAAAGGGGGGACAACAGTGGACATACAAATGCCAATTTGTAGGGTATTCATGTAGTTTAAGAGAGAGAAGATGGTAGTAACAGTGGAGGTTGGATTGGGGACACATTTTGAAGGTATGTGTCCTTCAAGAGGTGCTAACGGATGAGATGTCAAGTGTGAGGGAAGGAGGAGTTAAGGATGACTCCTAGGGCATTGGCTTATGTGGTTGTGTGAATTAGTTTTCTATTTCCAGACCTGGGAAGGTTAGAGGAGGAGCAGGGTTAGGAGATGGGAGATTAAGAGTTCTGTTTTCATTATGTCAATTTTCAGATGCCTATTAGTTGTTGAAGGAGAAATGGGATATAAGATTCTGTACTGGATGGGAGAGGTCAGGACTAGAACTATAAACCTGGACGAGTTGTCAATCAGCATATGGAGTGCCATTAAAGCCATGAACTAGATAGCGCAAGGAGGGAGTAAGTATAGGGAGAGAAGATAAGTGTAGACAGAAAGTACCCCAGGAAACTCTGCCATTTAGAGGAGAATCCAGCCAAAAGGCTGAAAAGGATGTCCAGTGAGTATGAGGAAAGCTAGGGGCAATGGCATCACGCAAGTCAAGTGAGGACAGTGTCCCAAGAGAAGGAGGGATCCCTTTTGTCAAATGCTTCTAAGAGAGCCAGTGAGCTCAAGAAAGGTGAAGATACAATCAACTATCGGATGTGGTAAGGCGGAGGTCATTGGTCACTTTTTTGTTTTTTTAAAGATTTTTATTGGGGAATTGGGGGATGGGAACAGTGCTGGGGAATTGGGGTAAGGAGAACAGACAAGTTGCTGTCCTTTTTTTCTTCAGTCTAGTTGTGGAGGACGTTGCTTCACTGACCCGAGTTGGCACCATCATTGCGCTCTTCCGGGACGAGGCAGATCAGTCACCTGCTTCTGGATGATTGCTCACAGTGGCTGTTGGCCGCTTACACTGGCTGCNAAAAAAAAAAAAGTATCTTTTCACATGTTCATTTACTACAGTGGTTCTCAACGTGTGGTCCCTGGGTGAACAGCATTAGCAAAATTCAAATTCCCATTCATTTACTACTTTTACAGTTCTTTTTACACGTTTAGCCTTAGTCCATCTGAATTTTATTTTGTGTAGGATCGGAAGCACACATCCCCACTCCCACCACCACACATAACATTAATAGCTAATTGTTCCAAGATCAGGTAATAAATAGTTCAGTTTTTTCCTCCTGGTTTTCTTGTCCGACAGACATATTCATTAGGGACAACCTCAGATGCAAGGTGAGACCTAGGTTCTGGTTTCATAACGCCACTCACTACCTTGGGCCTTTGGGCCTCAGTGAAACCAGGTCAAGATCTGGAGGCTCTGAGTTCGCGGTGAGGCCAGCAGCGCACACACAGTCGGGAGCAGTGGGACTGGGTTCCCGCCTCCTGGGGCTCCCGGCGCAGGACACACCCCCGGGAGCGCGCCCGCTCCCCGCCCGCGAAGCTGCGCCCGGCCCCGGCCTCACCTCGCAGGGTCCCACGAAGAGGATCTTGGCCTTCAGCATCTCGTCGCCGGCAGGCCCACCGGAGTCTACCCCCACGTAGTCAGAGACCGCGCTGTTGTCAGGGCGGAGAGGAAGCTTCCGCGCTGATTGGCTGCCTTTGTTTCCAAGGAGACGGAGCGACTCGCGGGGGCCGACGGGAGTGGGCGGGTTCCAGGCTTGGAGGCCTGGGCGCTTGAATCCTCTTGAGGGGGCGCCGTGTTCCCAGTAGGGTGGCGTGGGTTTCGGGCGGAAAGTCGGCGTGCGAGGCAAAGGGAATAGGTAGGAGGGGAACAAAAACCCTGATCCGGACTCGCTTCTGAGCGGGGAGGGTGGTAGAGCTCGCGAGTCCGGCCTCCCTCTGTAGGGAGGGTGCGGATTGCGGGTCCCAGATATCCTTTATTCTTCCCTATAACCCCGAGAGCTCAAACAAGCCTTGTAGCTGGTGCGCTGAGGTTGGAACCATGCTTCTGACGCTTTTATCACTCTGGCAGGATACTGGCTACGTTGAGAACGGATTTATCATTTCCCTGGCCCAGTCTAGAAGAAGTCAAGGGAAGCACGATTCTGTGGTCTCTGTAAAGGGATTCATTCATCACTGACCCTCATTCGAGTGATCACAAAAGAAACCAAACACTGGCGTTGTTCAGTGTCAGTGCAGGTGTCTGGACGCATTGCTGCTAAATTCAGTCATTAGATCCGTCTTAAGTTACAGACCCAGTCTAGAATTTCGGGTAAGGCCGTGAAATTAAGCGCCTATGTGCCAAGAGTGCCATTAAGGAATATACTAGCCCCAAAAGGTGCTGATGTGACCAAAAAC